GGGGTGCAACGATTATATTTCAGACAGACCGCGCTCGACACACTACTGGCCCCACAGGCCGTGATGGGTCGTGCTACAGGCTGGGCCATACGACACGGACAACTATGCCGGCCCGTGGACCTCAAACCCCCAGCCCAACATAGCATGGACCTTCGTGCTGGGCCTAACACGACTTGTGGGCCTTCATGCTGTGCCAGGCCGGGCCAGTCCAATTTCGTGCTAGGCCACGGGCAGCCGGCCCGATTTACACCTCTATCCTATTGTTATGGGCGTGTTCGTTTTTCATGAAGTGAAGGGGGAAAGTTTGGTCTTACCTGTGTTCGGATTTCAAAGATGTGTGGGACCCACGGAAAGTTTGATTTCCCGGTATCACTTACCCGGGTAAATGATACCCTTGCAAAACTCGGGTAAGTTGGTTTCCCGGTAAGTAGATAAAAACTTAAAATCTCGAAATTGCCCCCACAATCGAGAAAAATCAGCTTCACCGCTTCTAATTCCCTCAGTTGCTGCCGCTGCTTGATCAGGTCATTGCTGCTGCTATGTCTACTTACTGATGCCAAAGAGTTTATCCTCCTACAATCTATCATCTTCTCCATCCCTTTGTTGCCGGCACCATTGGTCCTTCTAGTTGCCGCTGCTGCTCATTGTTTTTTCATCCACTGAAACGGTAAGAATTACTATTCCTCTTCCCACTGATCCGTTGTTCCTCTCTGATGCACATAATGCATCTTATTTTTTTCATTCCATTCAAAAAATTGTTTCTCATCTTATTGTTCCTCTTTTATTGTTATTTCATTGATTTCCTTTTTTTTTTTTGATTTTTTGTTTCCAGAATTCTTGGTAATCCAATTTGTTGAAAGGGTACCTGAATGATTTTGGAGGACATTAACTTATAGTGAGGCGGAATGCACATTTGGGAGTGGAGAAATGAAGGATATGCTTATCTTGTTGACCAATCCAGCCAGATCCTATTTAATTGAGGTGCTATTAGAACAATCTTACTTAAGGCATGCAAAACTCAGATAACCAAGAAATCTAGCGAAGTCTCACAGGAGTTCTAATTGCAAGTTGTTGTGTAACAATTTTGAACATACAACAACCTGAAAAAGTTAGCAAAATGTTACATTTTGGATGGCCAAAAATATAGGAGATACTTATCCAGTTTACTGGGAAAAAATAAGAGAAAAATGCATCATACACCATTGTTGTTGTCTTTTGGTGTTTCATAGGATATGGTATTATTTTCTTGAGAAATCAATGACAGAAGTTCTTTTTGTATGAGGTACAAGTGCATCATACACTAACATCTGGATTCTTTTCTTTTCTTTTCTTTCTTTCTTTYTTTTTTTTTTTTTTTTTTTGTTTCGCCAAAAACATATTGTTGCCAGTTTGGAATAATGAAAATGGGAAGCATTTTTTTGTTTTATTGGTAGTTGGGGCAGGATTAAGGTACAATTCTGGTTCCATTTATTGATCTTTTCCTTTTCTTGTATGTGATTTTGAATGCTTGTTTATTTTTTTATGGTTTCATATATTTCAGTTTTAATCTGTTTTTTACGATGCAAAAAAAAGGCTTATTCATGTCCCTTTCTTTTGATTATGATTGTCAATAGATTTTTATCCATGCAAAGCATATGCTCATTTTAGTATCAATTTTTTTTTTTGCCATTTCTGTTGGGATAGTGGAGATTTTATTTGTTCTATTGAAATGAATAGGATTTTTATTGAAAATTCAAAAAATTAAGTCATATCCGTAGTTGAAATTACTGAGATTTGGCTACTCAATTGATAGAAAGGTTATTAGCAAAACCTGTCAAGGGTTAGAGTAGTGGTAGTCCCTAAACCGAACTGTTAGAGAGATATAACTGTGGATTACCTTTGTATATAGTTGTTTGAAACACGTATGGAAATACCAGGGATAGTTTAAGCCCTCTTTGGTGGGTTAGGAGACTTGGTTAGATGTCTTTATATTTAGGGAAGATACTATTATTGATTTGTTTTTCTTTATTGATTTAGTTTCTATATTATTTATACCTAGTATTGGGAATGGTAAATCATCTCTTAGTTAACAATAAGTAGAGTTAAAATAGTACCTAGTGCTTTATGATTGAAAATAATGGGTACTATATACTCTGGTTGTATAGAACAGAATTCTCATCTAATATGAAGTTCTGAATTTGAAATTGTCATGTCCAATCAACTTTTCTTCCTAAGGCATGGATCTTTCGCTCACCGTATAGCCAGAAACTATTCGGGTAAGTCATCAGTACATTGATTTGGAGTTCTTGATACTAAAACTCTATAAATTTAACAACTTATGGCATGGTTACTGAGTCTTTTTAGTTTCTTGATCCATATTTGACTTTGGGTTTGCAATTTACTGTTTCCAGTGAAAGTCAGTTTGGTGGGGATAAATTTTAAAATTCATTTTTTTTTTCTGATAAATACCTGATTTTGGCAATTTTTCCTACATAGATCTGCTTCTTGGTTCATGGCACAGGGCTATTTTATATTAGCTTCTCTTATTAAAATCAAATCTATGAAAGAATAAAACATTTAGGTGCTTCATTTTCAAAATACCAATTAGTTTCTAAATTTTAGATAATTATTTTAGTTTTCTTAGCTTTGTCATTTTAAAGGATCACTACCTAATGTTGGTCCCAGCTATCCGAGTCTTGGGAGGGATTAATCTCTACCTAAACTCTATTGCTTATGCACAAAATGGATGCTTTCATCCTCAAACCACCATTTTCACACTTTTCTTAGCTTTTCTCATATGACAACAATGAGGTGAATGGTGAAAAGCATTAGTAGACTCTAATTTGTTGGAAGAAAATTTTAAATACCTATGCAACAATTGATGTTCATCAGAAATAACAATTCTTCCACCATAATCTTAGTTTAGAGCAACAATCTTGATTATCTATATTTATGACCTTCAAAAAATTTGGCTTTGACTGATGTTGTAATTGTGCCTTCTTGGCCAACTGGTGTTGGTTTAATTGGTAGATTAGTTATGTTTAGAATTTTAGTCACTAGATAATATTGGATTTTCTTATGATAATGGCAATTTGTTCTAGCTACTGGGACAAATCTGTCTTTTGTCCTATGATCACTCCTAAACACATCCTATATTTATCAGAATTGGAACAAGTGGCCTCAATGAACTTGAGTACAATCACTAGGACTTGCCTCATCACTACTTATGTGTAGTGGAACTAACATTAGAATTGGAAACATAAACCTTGGGGACATGAAGGATGAACATCACATAGTTACTAATATTTAGAGTCACAAGCCTTAGCTTCCCCTAGGTTGTGAGGCTTGTCAGTAGAACTTAGTGAGCTAGAGCCCATTGTGACTCATCTAGATCACAAGATGTGAATGGATGTAATCAATCCATGTAAAATTTGAGATTATTGTAGTTGCAATTATGTGGTCTGAGGTGAATGGATATTTCTATAGCTTCTTTAATACATTTTTAGGCAACCACATACAGGCTGTTCTCCTCTTGTCAGTTAAAGTTGCATTTAAACTATGGAGTTCCATTTTTTCTTTGATTGTTATATTGTTTTGTTTATTTTTTACAGCCAAAATATCGTTTGATTACAGAGAGGTAGTGTACTTGCTTGAAAAGTTATTGCTTATCATGATCAATATCTCAAATGACAAATCATTTGATGACTTTTAGGTATAGTGAAGCATGAAATGGAATTGATGTAGTAATGCAAGTCTGTAATATGATTGATTCAAGCTGTCTATCTCCACTTCAGGTTTCTAAAGTTTAAACTTTCAGCAATTACACCAAATGCGGATATATTTGGTATTATTGATCCTTTCTCTTGTTGCAATAGAAATATAAAAACAGATTGACTTGTGTTAGTTCTAAAGACTCATCCTTAAGTTCCCATATTTTATTACAGTGAAAAGGAATATTACCTAATGTTGGCCCTAGCTATCTAGGATCTTGGGAGGGGTGGACTGGAAATGAACCAAACATTCAGGCATTTTCTTGAATGAATTGGCCACTCTCAGACTCAGAGCCTTCTTTCCCATGTTTGTCAGAATGGGATTTTAACATTGCACCAAACTTGCCATTGTTGAGTAAGGAATACTAATAACATGACAATTAGCTTCACCTAGTAGATTATTGTAAAGGAAGGTTTTGACTTGAGTTCATTATTTCCCCAAAGCCTTCCTTTACAATTTTCTAACATGGTGGTTACTTCAGAGCCTCATCATCATCATCAACAACATAATAATCGGACACAGGCTTCCTCTACAGTTGTTTGTACTGCAGTTCCGACAAGCTTCTTTCTCTCTCCTCAACTAAACAACTTTGGCATCCATTATGGGGTTGAAGGAGAAAATGGTGCACTCTACTCATTTGTCTGTAATGCCATTGAAGTCTGATGGTTTATGTAGTGACAGAGTACCAAGTATCATCACTTTGTTATTTATGCTCCATTTGTTTGCAGTGCAAATGCATTGCACTGATATAAATGTATAGGAGTGCAATTTTTTGGTCAATTTTTGCTTCAGGTTTTAGTTTTCTTAAAAAGAGAGTGCAATTTTTAAATAACTTTTGTTCCAGGTTTTACTTTGCTTCAGGCTTTACTTCATTTGCATTGCAAATGAACAAAACAAAGGAATAAATTAGAACTGGGTAATGAAGGGCCGAAATGCTTTGACATCTATTCTGATTTGAAGTTTGTGGAAATGCGGAATAAATTGACGTACTACAAGGGTGTATAGGGCTAAAGTTCAGTTTTTAATAACAAAACATTGTACTCATGGTGCATACTGCACTGGTGTTGGAAACATTGATTTAGGCGTAAAGGGTAAAATTGGCAAGATGGGAAAAATACCAACTTACCCAAGAAAATAGATATTGCAAAAGAACATATAAAAGTAAGCAATCTCATTTACCTGAGTAAATTGAACAAAACAAGAACATGGATAAATACATCTGGGTAACACTTACCTGCGTAAATTCCAAAAAAACGAACATGGCCTATTTGAAAAGATTCTGGGTCTATGGTTTTGTTTTGCTTAATAATCGGCTCAATCGAGAGTAATTTTACCTAGGCCCGACCTCTTGACAGCCCTAACACATCCCACCTTTTAGTATGAACATGTCCTCATGAATAACACATTAACCCCACACAAATACTAGAGATGCTCCTGTGAGGTTAGTGTGAGGGCCAGACTCGGACTCTAATGCTTAAGGTGGTGCTCGGTAGCACTGACCTCCGAACACCGAAAAAACGTCTGAACCATTCAGCGTCCAAGGCTCCAAGCTACCTCTGAGCGCATTCGGAGGTAGCGGACGAAATTTCTATTCCATCCATGGCCTTCTCTCTCTCTTTCTTCTTTCTCCCTCATCTCGCCCATGAATAGAGTCGATGAGACCGCCGACTGTTCTGTGTTTCACTGTCGGAGGAGAATCTGGGTTGCAGATTGGAATGGCGATTAGCTCTGGACTTCTTTTCACTCCCGCCATTAATTCTACACTCGTCCTTGCTTTGTGGACCACTGAAAAGAAAAAACTAGGATTTGGGTTCCACGAAGCCCGTATTCTTTATCCTTCCTTCCTTTTGTTCTGCATTGTTCACAGGTGTTCCTTCTACTAGACTTCGAGTCTCCGGCCGGTGATGACCACTTGAAAAGAGTCTGTTCTAATATCCTTTCTGATGTAGCGTGATCTGACTGCTCCCTCCAGTCGAACAACGAGCTAAGTAAATCTGCAGAACAAGATCAGAGAACTCGGGGTGGCTAGCCTGGCGAGGTCGCTCCGATGCTTAAGTTGTAAGCTGTTGCGAGCTGAATAATTTTGAGAATGTAGAGAGTTAGAGAGCAAAGAAATCATGCGTACCTTATGCCATTGGGGTTGGAGCCTTTATATAGTTGAGTAGTTGTGGGGCACACAAAAGGGTTCCGGGATATCCGGAATGTGGAGATAGAGTTCGCTCCGTTTCCGATGGAGCAGTATATAGGTAAGGCTTATCTAGTCCCACTTTCGGTTCCAGCGGAATTAGGATAATTCCCCATCGTGATCCTGGGAAAGTCGGAGTCTGTTAAGTCATCGTGATTTCAAGGGATTTGGGATTCGTTGGAGAGACCTTTGGAGTTAGTTACACAACAGTTATGTGGCGATTCGAGTTACTGGTTCCGAGTTAGTACTTCGGTCTGTTAGTTCCGAACTGGTTTGAATACCAAGTGTCTCGATGCCGAGGTCAGACTTGCCCCGAAGTGGCCCTGCTCCGAGGTGAACCTTAAGCCGAGGTGACTGAATATGCGAGTTCAGTTATTGCGAACTGAACTTGTCAGGCTGAATTATCATTTCTTGGTCAGATTGTGTTCATGTGTCCCCTTTTTATTAGGTGGGGCCAAATCAATCTTCATCACTTTCGTTTTGCACCAACCATTGGATTCCTCATTGGGAAAATTTTTAAAGCAATATGTCATCGACTTTCTTCATACGATTACTCTATAACGAACGATGACAAAACGGTTTCCCACGATCAATGGCGACGAACTCCGAAAAAAACGGCAAAATCTATTCATCTACAAAAACCACATGTAAAACCAACCTGTGTCGACAAACCAGGAACAGGGCAGGATTTTTTTATTCTCTGATAATTTGTATTCAATAAATTTGTACAAGAAAGGGATCGACGTCATAATCTCATGTTTCTGTTGGGGTACGAGATCCCCGAATTCTATTTTTGTTATAAAGAGGACTACGAACATTGTATATACGCCAGATGACAGAACTCTGACTACAATCACTCCACCCGAGTCCACATCGGAGACTACAATCCATTTTACAACTCCCACTCACTTTTGTAAAAAGGGTAAAATACTTCCTCTAAACTTTCTGACCATCATAATAACCTATTTATAGTTTTATTTTAACAAAAACCTTCATGCTATTTTAAAAAAATTAACAAAAATCTCCCTTTCGTCAACGATCATGACTAAAAACGTTAAACCGATAATCAAATCTTTTTAAATACCTATTTTACCTTTTGCATGTTTTCTTTGTCGATATATCGTCATCTTCCCCCTCCCATCGACTTCTTTACCGTCTTCTCATAACAAAAACCCGTGCCATGCACGGGTCCCCACTGCTTATAAATATACAAATTTGGCCCCCTTTTACATCCGATCTCTTTCTCTCTCTCTTCCTTTTCTTCTTCTACGTCTCTTACGGTATTCGCCCACAGCCATGTATAAAGTGGCAAGTCCGTCGTAGTACTTAGTGATCACCGGCATCGGGATACGAGACATCAAGCTTGCCAAGAAGGCATGGGTCCTTTCGGGGCAATCTTGCACTGTCTTCGACATCTCTCTGGTAAACTACACGTTCAAAGTAGAGGATATAAGCACAGAAAAGCTCCCCTTCGTTCTCCCGGCGGTGTTCAATATCATGGAGAATATATATTTTTTGACATATCTTTCAAGGTCTCATATGCAGCAAGGTCTATTCTTGCATAAGGAATAATTCCAAGAAGAGATGGGACAACACCTCTGTAGAAGGCTTGAGGCCCCTCTTGAATCCATATGTCTTATGTTAAAGCTCTGAGTTTAGGAACTTTTCCACCTTCACAAGCATAAGTCCGCAATCGAGTTTTTACAAGATCCATTGGACAAATAGCAGTCTGTGCAACTGCACCTGCAATACCACTGGCAACAAGGGAGCTTGTTCAGGGGATCATCGAGGGTGAGACTCAAGTTCTAGCAGTGTCGATGAACATGGAGGAAATCTTCAGAGGAACCAAGGAGTTCAAGCAAAAAATGTTCGAGAAAGTTCAACTAGAACTCAACCAGTTTGGCCTTCTGATCTACAACGCTAATGTTAAGCAGTTGGTCGACGTGCCTGGTCATGAGTACTTCTCGTACCTTGGCCAGAAGACCCAGATGGAGGTTGCCAACTAGGCTCAGATCGATGTGGCTGAGGCCAAGATGAAAGGTGAGGTCGAAGCAAAGCTTCATGAAGGGCAGACAAGGATCATATCAACCCAAAGGCAAGGAGAAGGTAAGAAGGAAGAGATTAAGGTGAAGACAGATGTGAGGATATATGAGAACCAGAAGGAGGCCGATGTTGCAGAGGCCAACGCGGAGTTGGCGGCAAAGAAAGTAAAGTGGACTCGGCAGGTTCAGATGGCGGAAGTGGAGTCAGCAAAGGCGGTGACCATCCGAGAGGTTGAGTTGCAGAGAGAAGTTGAGAGGATGAACGCATTGACCCGCACAGAGAAGCTGAGCTACTGAGTAAGGCTAGTGTGGAGTATGAAACCCGGTATGGAGCATTGTCGATCAATCCAATCATGTTCTTTCTGCTTTTTTTTTCTAAATAAATCCAACTATTCTTGATTAAATTTCTACGATTTCTGAGGAATTAACGTCCAAATATATATCTGTTTGTACTTCTTCAATACTGTATGAGAAGTAGAAAGAGGCCGAGGCATAGAAAGCAATTACAGAGTCATTTTTTTTAACGCTCGCCAACAAGTTGCAGATGCAGAACTGTATGCAAAGAAGAAAGAGGCTGAGGGAATAATGGTGCTTGCATAGGCGCAAGGCGTTTATCTACAAACTCTACTGGAAGCATTCGGAGGCAATTATAGTGCACCGAGAGACTATATGATGATCAATGGCGGAATGTTCCAACAGATGGAAGTCGTCAAGGTGTATTTGGAAAGGGTAAAATAGGTATTTGTAAAGATTTAATCATCGGCTTAACATTTTCCGTTTTGATTATTGACGGAAGGGAGACTTTGGTCAATTTTTTTAAAAAATATCAGGGAGGTTTTTGCTAAAGTGAAACTATAGGGGAGGTTTTTATGATTGTAAGAAAGTTCAGGGGAGGTTTTTGTATTTTACCCTTATAAAATTCTAAACATGTGTTATTTTCTAAAAAGTTGCTATTAAAGTCCACGACCCACTACTACTTTTCAACAAGTGGCCTTCTCATTTTTTGAAAAGCTAGACATGTGACAATTTTTGAGAAATTCATGCTAAAACCCATATCCCACTACTATGCTACATGTCCCCACCATTCAGACATATAGCCTTTTCATTTTTCTATAAATCTAGACATGTACCATTTTTTGAGAAGTTGTTGATAAAGCCCACTACCACCATTTAGACACGTGGCATCATATTAATTCAAGAAATAAGATTCAAAAAGTGGGTAGTTTCACTCCTAAACATTCTCAATATAGAGTTATTTATTAGCTTAACACGCCACAGTCTATTAAATACAAATGGTGGGACTCATTAAAAGATTACCATAAACCCATGTTTGTTTTTAAATGATTTTTTTTTCAAAAAAAAAAAACTTTATTAATTACAAACTTGATTTAACTTTTAGGAAGCAACCTAACTTAACATTTAAAAATAAATAACTCAAAATAGATTTATTAGATAAATAGTAAATACCAAATAAAGTGGGTTATTGCCTACTAATAAGATCTCATTTAATATCTTAAATCAAATTAAAAAAAATATAAATTAATAGTGGGTTTCAAATAAAATAGGTCAGAATAGATTGTCAATTACAAAGATGTAAGACCCATATTAGTTTTTTTTTTTAATTTAATTTTTGATAACTAAATAGTAAACTTCAAAATTTGATTGTGCATTAAAGTTATGTAAATTACCAGAATTTAGTGTAATTAGAAAATCTATTATAATGACAATACTAAGTAATTAAATACTGAATATTAATAAAAATATAAGAAAATAATCATCACCATTACTAATTAAAAATAATATTAATATTTAAGTAAATATTACATTTTGATTAATCTTTAAATACTTAATAATAAAAACAATAATTAATTAACTAAATATTACAATACAAATAATCTTTAAAAAATAAAGAAATAATAATAAAGAGTTAGACATTTTTTGTTTAAACAAAATAAAATTATCAATAAATACTAGCCCCATACTTAGTACAAGGTCATTCTCTAGTTTAATAGATAAGTTGTAATTGCCAAAAACGATGGAGAGAGGTGAGACTCAATGATAATACAAATTTTAATAACTTTTTACTATTTTATCTCTTTTTACATTAATTTATCATTTATCGATCTCATTTAAATAATTTTACTACTTTTATATTTTTTATCATTAAATGATATATTTTATATATTTAATTTTTATTGCCATTTTTGTTTTATTTTTCTACATTTTATCAGATATAGTAATTTTTACTATTTTATCATTTTTATATTATTTTTGATTCTTAATTGATATCATTTATTGATTTTTACCATATTTAACATTTTGTAGTATTTTCTTATAATATCTTATTACTTTTAATAATTTTCATTTACTTTTGTTTAAATAATGACTTTGAAGGGTAAATTTGTAAAATGAAAACTTTTCAAACATTACAACATTCAGATTATTGAGCAACCCCAATAAGGGAGTTCCTCTATCTAAGGCAGTATTTGGTATGACATTCTTTTATTTGATAAATAGTGCCATATAATCGCTAAATTAATATTTCTCCCATCATGTTAATACATATACATAGTTATTGATAAATTTTGGTCTTGATTTATGTAATCGCCATCCATCAGTTAGACAAAGTAATGAACAGTAGGGGTGTCTATAAAAACTGAAAAATCAAAAAATGGAATCGAATTAAAAAAATTGAATCATAAAATGCGATTAATCGAATCGGTTGATTCAGTTTCAGTTCAAAACTTTTGAAAAACCAAAAGACCGGTTCAATTTTCGGTTAATCTATAAAAAAACTGACAGTTAATCGAATCGATCGGTATATATATTTATATGTATATTTTTAATATATGTCACATATTTTTTATGTATTTTATATAAATATATATTCATTATATATAAATATATACTTATATTATATTTATAATGATCTATTTATAAATATATTATATATTTTTAAAATATTTATAATATAATATATATCATTTACTGTTCATAATATAATATAATATTTATTTATTTATATAATATATATTGTAAATATAAAAAACCGAAGAACTGAATCGGTTAAAAACCAAAACCAGCAGACCGATTAACCAGTGGCATCGATTCAGTTTCAGTTTGGCGAAATGAAAAAAACCGACACCGCGGTTCGATTTACAAAAAGGGGCCACGGTTCGGTTACCCGAGCCGTGAAACCCCTAATGAACAGTATCGTTTAATTACCAACAAATCCCAATATCCACCATTTTTTCGACTTTAAAACAAATCAAATTGCATTCCAAAAGTCAACTATTTATAATTAATCAGAATTTCGAGGCCCGTTGCCCAATTACCATTAGATCCTTATTGGCAAACACACTGTCAAAGAGACCGGATTCGGCAGTCGATAATAAAAAGAAGGGGTTTTTATGGTTCAGGTCACAACTTAAATTCTTAATTAGGTCGGTTCATGACAGTCATGAGGTTTGTGGAGCACAGTTCGAAACACTGGGGACACATCACAAACAAACATGCAAATTCCTAAATGCAATTGTGCTCCCAAACATGCCAATATTGAACTATATTTGATCAGGTATTGGGAACCTAAGTTGCTTAAAGCAAGTGAACCCACCATCAACAACCAGATTATGACCCGTAACATATTTGGCGTCATTTGATGCCAAGAACACCGCGGCCCGAGCAACATCTACTTCCTCGCACTTGGCCCCATTGAGCTCCCCTAACCCATTCACCATCTCCGTTATCCATTCCCGTCCGGCGCCTGGGTAGAACACGGCCATCTGGTCCATCACGAGCGGGGTTGGAACGACAAATGGCGAAATGCAATTGATGCGGACACCATGACGGCAAAGCTCGCTGGCAGCAGATTTCACGATCCCGGGTATTGCAAACTTGGACACTGTATATGGATGGGGGCCAAGCCCACCCATTAGCCCACTGATGCTCGCCGTGCAAAGGATGGAGCCGGATTTCGCGGGTACCATGATTCGGGCTGCGTGCTTTATTCCCGCGATCGTGCCGCGGACGTTAATTTGCATGACACGGTCGAATTCATCAAGGTTGAGATCGGCAATGCTCGGGGGAATCGACGGTCCCGGAATTCCGGCGTTGTTGTACATGATATCAAGCTGGCCGTGATGAGCCACGGCGAAGTCCACCGCTTCTGCTACTTGGGCCTCGCTAGTGACGTCGCAGTATACGAAGTTGGCCTGTGGACCAAGGTCTAACGCCGTTTGTGGGCCAACTTGGGTATTTATGTCAGCTATGATGACTTTAGCTCCTTCTTGGATGAACTCGTAGGCGGCGGCCCTGCCTAACCCACTCGCACCGCCGGTTATCAAGGCGACCTTGCCTTCCAACCTGCTCCATAGTTAATATTTCATAAATCAAAAGAGTTCATCGAAAAAAAGGAAGGTTTAATTTGGTGAACCGATTCAATACGAGTTGTCTGATCATCAATCGGATTGAAATTGAATAATTGATTGTCCAAAACTCCAAATGCTGTCTACAGGCTGGTTACAGCGTTAACATGGCCAACATTATCTATTGAAACCCTACAAATCATCTTGTTACAATAGTATTATGAACTGTATCAAGAGAGAGAGAGAGAGAGAATACCGGCCACCACGTGAGGTGGAGGAGGCATATCCAAACCGGTTCAGGAAGAAATTTGCAGCGTTGCCCTTGAAATCTCTCAAGAGACGCGGTCTGTTTCACCAGTTCATAACTTGTAAAGAAGACTGAAGGATGATACAAAACAAACTGACCGGGAAGGAGAGAAAAGCTTTAATTAGCTTGCATGAAGACGGGAACTAACCTGGAAACCGATCTTAACATCTCCGGCAAAAGCGTCAGATCCCGGCGAGAGAGAGAGATTTTCTTTCTAAAAACCTGTTCTTCAGTTTCCCCCTCCTCTCCGGCGATACTTTTAAAAGGGAAGGTAATGAAGGGGACAGCGACTTGACTTGACGAAGAGTATTTATTTCTTTATGCATGGGTTGACAATTGACACAGGAGAGACAGATACTGTAAGGCGGAAATCCCTCTCTCTCTCTCTCTTAGTTCATGCCGACTACGCAAACTGCTGTTCCTTCAGGGCCAAAGCTGGGTCGACCGCATAACACGTACTGAGACTATATAATTTGCCACTTGTCATTGTCCGAGCATTAGAACCTACCATCAGATTGTCCTAGCATAATTTGCCACACCCATTTAAATTAACGTGAGAATAACGACGGAAAAGGTGATTAACGTTAACATAGAATGCAGAACAGTTTTTTCTTGTACAAGAAATGGTTCATTAATGCTTGATCAGATGGTTGAAAGTAATCTGATTTAATCAGATTGTGGGTGGGTCTTTATCCTTAATAATCAATAGTTCGATACTCGCCATGTGTCCTCCGATCTCACACCTAAGACGCTCCCTTCAAAGCCCATAATATATCCTGAAACTGAAAGCGAAAGGCACATGCCGTGCTCTGATCTCAGCGTCTTCACACGCTTTTTTCGCGTTCAGGAAATCCCGTCTCCTCCCATTCTCCTATTTGATTTTTGGCAATTAATGATATGATACCAAGAATGGTTTCCAAATCGAGATTCGCAAGTTTATAAAGTATATATAAATCCCTCTACAGTAAACAAGGTAACGTAAACAAAGAGGTAACTAGGGAGGTGCATATTGTAAGAAGACACACGTGCACATACTGAGTTTTTTCAATTTATTTAATACATTGCAAGAGAAGAAACCAAATGTCTACACRGCCTATCCGGCCCATARCGATTGAGTATTGATTATTCCAGCACATACTGAGTTTTTTCAATTTATTTAATACATTGCAAGAGAAGAAACCAAATGTCTACACMGCCTATCCGGCCCATAGCGATTGAGTATTGATTATTCCAGCACATACTGAGTTTTTTCAATTTATTTAATACATTGCAAGAGAAGAAACCAAAGGTCTACAAGGCCTATCCGGCCCATACCGATTGAGTATTGACTATTCCAGCTTTTCGGCCCATTCCCTGATCAATAAGGTATTATTAACTTATTGGCGCGAAATTATTATAAAGAGGTGGTTTTGTTAAATAAGCCATTATTATTTATTAGCTGGCTTATTTTATTTGTCTCTTCAACGGTGGGGTCCAGCTAATTGTTATCGAGAGAGGAGAAGTTAGGCATCCAACCAGATGATCAAGGCCGTTGTTTTGGTGAGCACCCATTCTGATTTGATAATTAATTGGCACAGATCAAATTAAACAGAAATAAAGTTTGAGCCCCTTGTGCGGGCCCAAACCAATTAAAGATTCTAATCCACTCACTCTGGGATCATGCATTCCATTCCAATTGCATGTTGTTTGGTACTGTGGAGTGTTTAAGTCCGTGCACAGATAAGAAACAGCATAGCACATGTTATGTGAGTGGTCTCCTCGTCTTATTCGGTCACAACTCACCAAGTCATGATATTGAATTCAAGCTTGATGTTAATATGGCCATTGGCCAACAACAATCAACAAATAAAAGTGTACTAAAGTGTAAGTGTAATGTTTTCATCCACAAAACTTTCTTTTTTTGTTTCGTAAGCTCTCAATCCAGATAAATAAATATTGTATCGTATTCGTATCATATCCTTTTTATTTTTTATTTTTCGCGTTTTGGCCTTAACTCATAAGAAAATAAATCCCCACAGTGAACGGCCTTTCGTTTTGATTTCTGAACCCAACACGAGTGAATAGGCTAGAGAAATGCCATTCCTGACACAGCACCGGTTTGCAATACCGGGCAGAGAGATGATTCCACTGCTTTGAAAATTTGAAAAACTAACAAGGGCGAAAATCGTTACCAGTTTCTGGCTGAAACATGCTGTGAGACACCCTCTATGAAAAACAGATCTGAATTCTTAACAAATTCCCTTAATCCCCAACTTTGGTGGCAAGGGGGAAATCAAGTACAGTGGACCACGTCCAGTGGATCTCCTATACGCGAATACTAGAGAATGACCCCGTATTAAGTATGAGGCTAGTATTTTTTGATAATTTTCATTTTGTTTAAATAAAAAATGTCTAATTTATTATTATTATTATTATTATTATTATTATCATCATTTATTTTTTAAATATTATTTATATTGTAATATTTAATCAATTAATTATTAATTTTATTATTAAGTATTTGACTAATGATTTTATTATCATAATAATTGTTATAATTAAAATTTTTACTGTAAAAATTTAAAGATGAATCAAACTGCAACATTTATTTAATTATTTAATTAAAGATTAATATTATTTTTAATTAGTAATGGTGATGATTATTTTCTTATATTTTTATTAATATTCAGTATTTATTTACTAAGTATTGTTGTTATAATAGATTTTCTAATTACACTAAATTCTGGTAATTTATTTAATGCACAATCAGTTTTTGAAGTTTACTATTTAGTTATCAGAAATTAAATTAAATGAAAACTAATATGTCTTACATCTTTGTAATTGGCAATCTATTTTGACCTATTTTATTTGAAACCCACTATTAATTTATGTTTTTTTAATTTGATTTAAGATATTAAATGAGATCTTATTGGTAAACAATAACCCACTTTATTTGGTATTTACTATTTATCTAGTAAATCTATTTTGAGTTATTTATTTTTAAAAGTTAAATTAGGTTGCTTCCTAAAACTTAAATCAAGTTTGTAATTAATAAAGTGTTTTCTTTTTGAAAAAAAAATCATTTAAAAACAAATGTGGGCTTATGATAATACTTTAATGGGTCCCACCATTTGAATTTAATAGACTATGGATAAACATGTGTTAAGCTAATAAATAACTATATATTGACAATGTTTAGGAGTGAAACTACCCACTTTTTGAATAATATTTCTTGAATTAATAGGATGCCACGTGTTTGAATGGTGGTAGTGGGCTGTGGGCTTTAGTAACAACTTCTTAGAAAATGTCACGTGTCTATCTTTTCGCCACATGTTTAAAGGGTGGGGGGCTATAGCCTGTTAGTGGGTTGTGGGCTTTTGCAAGAATTTCTCAGAAATTGCCATGTGTCTAGCTTTCCAAAAAATGAGAATGCCACTTATCTGAACGATAGTAGTGGATTGTGGGCTTTAACATCAACTTTTCAAAAAATGTCATGTGTCTAGATTTCTAGAAAAATGAGAAGGTCACATGTCTGAATGGTGGGGGGTTGTAGCCTGAAAACCTTCCTTTAATATATATACTAGTGAATGAACCGTACTAAGTACGGGAAATCAGTAATGTTAAATTTATATTTATTAATAGTTTAAATAATTATTAAAAATTTAAGAAATATTTATGTAAAAAAATAGTTTTTCAATAATTATTAGAATATGGATAGTTTTCTTTTGTTATGATACGTAGAGGGTTAATGATTAACTGAGATTGATAGAATGTAGGCAGAAGTGGTTGTGGATAACTACTTTTGCATTTTTTGCATTTTTTAGGAATGGATTGAAAATGGTGGTAGTGGGTTGTGGGTTTTAGCGGCAATTTCTCAGAAAATGCCACGTGTATTGCTTTCCAAAAAAATGAGAAGGTCACTTATCTGAATGGTGATAGTGGGCTATGGGCTTTAACAACAACTTTTCAAAAAATTTCATGTGTCTAAACTTGATAAAAGCCACGAGTCTTAATGGTGGGGGTTATAGCCTGAAAACCTTTCTTTAATATATATACTAGTGGGGACCCGTGCGGTGCACGATATTTCTTAAGCAAAAGCAAAATAATAGAAATGGTCATTTACTAAAACACCCCTATTGTTTCATGGATTTACTAAAATCTACCCTATATTTTGTATTTTACTAAAACACCACTTATGATTTGCAATGAATTTAATCAATATTCCATTAGATGACAATGGAAATGATAGTGTCGACCATAATGTTCATTTAAATAAATTTGATCAAAAGAAAATAAAAAAAAGTATCATTTTTGCCCCAAATAAGACACGAACAACCACTCTATTGGCTATATTTGGTCAATTTTATTTTCTATACAAAAAAGTGATAAGGGTATTTTTGAAATAAAAAATCATGGGCCTAATGGCAAAACAAACACTCCTTAATGAAATGTTGATTAAGTAAATATGTTGTAAAATATATGGGATATTTTAGTAAAATGAAAACTATAAGGTAGGTTTAAGTACATATGTAAAACTATAAGGTGTGTTCTAGTAAATGACCCTAATAGAAACATATAAGAGTATACAATTGTTTTATATTTTTGACTTTTTAAATAATTAATAATTATTCATATTTTATATACTACTTTTAATAAATTCTTTATAATACAAAAACAACAATAATTAATTTCAATTAGGTTTATTCATCAAGCTGATGAAACCAACCAACCTGATCAACTTGACACGAGTTGCTCGGTTTTTCTAATATTTTAGGTCGGCTATGGTTAAAAAATTTCTCAACTCAACCAAGTTGGATCAGTTTCGCTTTGGCCATTTGTAAACCAACCAAAATCAGATGACATGACCGTTGATATGTATTAATATTTTATATTTTAAATATAATTCTTTATATGAAAAAGTGATAAATTTCCAATATTTCTTATTCTAAAATGTTTTATATCATAAATTTATTTTTTAATAATTGTATTATAAATTTTAAAACTTAAATTTAAATTTTAACTTTAAATCTATTGAACCGACTGACCAGACCAAAAAGTCGACCCAAACCAATACAACCTGAGTGGATTGGTTTTCACAAATGGTCAGTCGGTTTCAACTGTCCAACTCCCCAACTTGACCATGTCAATTTCGTAGGCCAAACAGCCTACAACTTAACCGAACCAACTCATAAACACTCATTATTTCAGCTAAATCAATAGTCTCATCTTTGAAAAATAACAATAGTTTAATCTCCAATAATTATTGAAAATCTATAGCAAAAATACACAATTATTGAAAATATATTGATAATGAAAAAAATACAATAATTACTAAAAATATATTAAATTAGTCAATAAATAGTATAATCTCTAATAA